TTCTTTACAAGAAGTTTTGCCTCATATAACGAATAAATCTCACAACACGAAATAATTGTTGGTATTTGGTCCATAGGCCTACTCGTCAACACCTATTTTTCTGGACTAGTAACGTAATACATTATTATATGATTGTTACACAATTTGTGTTGTTGTCATGATATTTAATACTGCAACATGTTTTTTTAATTTTTGTTTGACATGGAAATCGTGATTCAGTAATTAGGGACGAAAACAGAACACCAAAGATACAACTAACACCTCTTTAATAATTCAAAACTGATAATTTTATTTTTCAGTTTCAAGTTATAATATTTACAACATAACTTCTGCTATTATCAAAACCTTCGAACTACCTTTCTCATGACGGTGGTTTATATACTTAACTGAAATATAAAGATTGTTGATCTAGTAAACTATGACTGTTCTTTTGTTATTTAAGCATTATTGAAAATTAATAATCGTATAATATGAGTGTAGAAAAAAAGCATACAGTAATTACAGAATGTTATAAATATTCTTCTATCATCACAAACCTAATAATTTAGATTTTAATTTATATAAATAAAATATTATAATTTATAAAGGTTTTTTGTTGGCTGATACAAATAGAATCATTATACTATTTGACTGGTAATAAAATAATGTTGAAAGTCCTTGTTACGTCATTATCCACTATGTTACTTTCACACAGTTAACAGTCTCTAACTGTTTAGCTATCATCTTGTTCTAAAAACATTGCACATTACCTATTTTGAAAATTGATATTATATCAAATCCTACTAGGAGTCTATCTGCATGTTATCTATTAGTTAGTTATCCTCATACTGCGGAAATCGTGAGGGGATTTGCGTTTGTGTGGTCGGAGGGCAGATTCGGAGATTGTATCAATCAGCATAATAGTGCTGATGTGGCCTGATGTTTGAAATGGCGGGAAATGACAGCTGATTTATTGACACAACAGCTGCGGCCTAACAGATCGTTATCAGTTACTGATATGGGATTGTTGTGGCCATTAGTGAATACGATTCATGAGTCGAGCTCGGACATTGAGAAACCCCTTGGTCAGTATTGGATGCTGATTGGAAGATCAGCGGTTTAAATTACCACATCCGATAAGGTCTATAGATTCGAATTTGTGCACATAGCCTATTGTGGTATTATTTAACCATTATAAGACTGTGTAAAAATATTTGGATTTCTTCCCAATCATAAAATCAATCACAATAATAACTTTAAACCCTTTTTAAAATATGCATATTAAAACTAGTGCCAATGGTTAAAAAAGTGTCCTTACCATTGCACACAAAAATACTGTTAAAAATTCATTTATTGATTATTCCATTACGACTTTATAAGCTACACCTGCCTTTAATTAAGGAAAAGAGAAATTGGTCTATGTATTTAGGGGAGAACCCCTTGAAGTTAGTTTCAGACAGAGTTTGGACGTCCTTATTGGAATTGTTGATAGAGTAATTGGTACAAGATTGTGGCACCAAGGAGGGCAAAACTTGATTGGGTAGTGCAGTAAATATGAGGTTAGATGGTATTTCGGTTGTCAGCACATTTGGTACTTTTAAAGGACAAACACAATTTTAGCATGGAGAATGTTAATAAACAAATATTTTATGACGTCAAGGTGGTGTGTATGAGATTTTGAATAATGTTGTTGTTATTTTAAGTGTTCATCATGCTATGTTTGTTACACTATCAATTAGTGGAGGTGATGTTATAGTCCAAGCAAACTAAACAAACTTACATAGGGATCGTTAAAAAAATTGCAAGAAAACGTTTTATGGTTTTATTTTGTAGAGTTGGGTTTGCAGAATGACATACTAAAAGTTGCCAAAAATCGGTGCACGAGAAAACCACTAAAATCAGAATTTAAAATGGCGGCTATTTCCAACATTGGACAAATTAAAAAAACATATTTCACATGCATTTGTTATGCACATTTTTCGAGATATTGACTTGGGACTACCGCCTGTATTTATTGGATGGTTATCACTTCATTTTGATAGGGAACATGTTTTTGGCCGCCATCTTGGATCCGCCATATTGGACATAGATAATTTGTTTTCAATGTAATGATAGTGTTGTGACACATCATTACCAACTACATTTTTACGTTGATTTCAATGCCGAAATCCGTTTTTAAATATCTTTATTCATTTAGAAGATATATTCAAACGAAAACTCTCCACCATACATTTCTTATGGACGTTTCGTAGTTTGATAATTGTTTTTAAATTATTTTTCTTATATCTCCAGTTCTTATTGACGGTTGTAGTTCGTTCTAGGCTTAAAATATTCAGTAATGTAAGGGCTTTCGTTTGAACTCTTGATCATTAAAATCAGACGAGTTAAAGACCAGCTACGAACCTCAGAACAATATTAAATTTAACTTTTTAGAAATATATTGTTATTAAAAGACTTATAACTCGGGAACAAATCGGAAAAAGCCGCCATTTTAAATTATGATTTTAGTCGTTTTCTCGTCCACCGATTTTTGGCAACTTTTAGTATGTCATTCTGCAAACCCAACTCTACAAAATAAAACCATAAAACGTTTTCTTGCAATTTTTTTAAGGTCATATCCTATATTTCTCCGACTATTATAGTCATAGAGATCAATCACCAGATACACTTCACCTTTTAATGCTAAGATCAATAATGAGTAAACACATAACCCATACTAGTTTAGAAATAATATGACGGATACAAGAAAGGTCAAGTATAAATTTACAAACAACTGTGTTTACATTTCAACACTTGAAATGCAAACAAATTCCGTATGCCGTAAAACTTTCTTCTCAGTCACTGTCTTTGTAATGATATTGCGCCCTTAATTACTTGGCCTTTTGCCGGTGTCTTTTCAATGAAATCTTAAAAAGAGTCTTTCCATTAGTTTCCAAGAAAGGAAGTAAAGAGTGATCTCGTTTGAATAAATCTTTAAGCAGATCTCCCTTCTTCTCAGACTAATGATTTTAAGACTGAGATTCCAACAACAGTTCTTTTCACTGTTGTCTGGTGCCCCCATCAGACAACAGTGAAAAGAACAGCAACGCTGTATTTTAAGTACAGTACTTAAGCATCTTTTTGTGTACGTAAAATATAGAAAAAAATAGTTAGGCCTACAATCTATGTGATATTTCATATAAATTCTTTTATCAAATTTGTTTTTAAATCTACCAATCAGTAAATATTATAGAAAGGGGTCTTAAAACGAATAAAAATGGAGACATCCTGTTGTTTTGAAATGTACTAGTATTTTATAGGGGACGCAACTTATAAGCATGAAAAATACGTTCAGGAAAAATGAGTACGTATGAAATACATGTAAAAATCCTTGAAGATATGATTATGATTTTTAGACTTAAGTTGATGAACCAAGTTAAAGGGTTAAGTTACTTTCTCATTTATTTGTAATCTGAAAACACAGCTTCAACCAGTTATTGACAATTAATTATGACTCTAGATACGAAATAACTTCATATTTGATCATGGATATGGTATGATTGCAATATTTGGAGGAAAGAAACACTGGACATTGAACTTCGGTATTCAACTGTTAAAAATAATCCGACTATTTTAGTTTTTTTTAAGCTCTTACATAAAATTCAAAATACTCGAATAGTATACATACAAAACATTAGATTGAAGCGTCTTACTACGAACTACTAACGCATAAAATAAACTTGTAACGCATATTAATCATACAGCATCATACTAAAGAGACAATGAAACCCCACTCGAGTGTTTAGACTGTTAACTTACCGAGGGTAAGGACGAAGTGTGCTAAATCTCGGACTGGTCATCGTAAAGTGACCCTGTGGTCGTAACTTGTCGCAACACAAGCAACCCCTCTCGCAGGGGAGGCCTGGTCCAGCGACAAACCTCAATACAGTACTGCAACATTGTACACGTAGTCATCGACGCAAAACGTTACTTCAACTCATGAGAACAATGCACAGTATTAGTTGTAATCGTAAGTTTTTTGTAGCAAGGGCATTAATTTAATATCTGTTTCGGTTAGTTCACAGGAATTTAATTACGACTAGATGTGAGCCCGTCCCACGAACGGGAATCAAGTATCCTGTCCGAACTGGTTATGATTTAAAACAGCGGGCTTAGGATTTTCTTTATTTGTCCACGAATTGGTATTTCTAGACGTTTTTTGTAGAGGAGCGGTTGCTCCTCCTGGCCCTGTTACTATCGAGTCTACCTTTTTATTTTGTGTGTGTTTCTACGCAAAATGATTTTTTTTGTTATGTATCACCTTTACATAACAAATGACAATCTGGTAATGATCTCGCTTGGAATCGAACCAGTGACCTTCTGGTTTGAAGGCGAGTAGTATAATCACCTGGGTACCTAGAGGACCAAGTCAGAACATGTGAGAGTTACAGACCATAATACACACAAGTATTACTACATAAAGGCAAATGCTAACCCCCGTAATGAAAAAAAACCTAGTAATTAAAATGTCATACTCAAACTATTTTTACCAATAACATACATATTAAATCTAACGACACAACAATAAAACAGCATCTTTGTCAATCTGTGGAAAAAGTGTTGAAGTGAAATTGGGGGATAACACTACTTGTTATTAGCAGCCACACCCCAATTTCCATTGGATACCATTTATATTGACTTTTGGATTGGTAATTATCATATAGTCACAGCATTTTAAAACGCACATTAGTGCCATTTATACATCCGTGCTAAATAACCTATGGAATTTAAAATCATTACTTGTACTGAATTATTCCTTTGTAAGTAAATTTTGTTATTAAGACCCTTGGTGGTTTAAGTAGGTCTACATTTTTCTATTACAATTACTCATTTGTATAGCTTTGGCTGTATTCGGTTCGCTTTAGCTATTCGTTGAGTGAAGGGTGGGAGGGTGGATGATCCCCCCCCCCCCCTCTTAGTCACGAGACTCAAATGGGATGCTGGCAGCCTCAGTGTGGCATGGACCGCGGTGCCGAGAGTAGGATTGAGAGAGACATGCCGCTGTCAGCGAACTTACAAACCATCACGTGTTTACAACAGTTACAAGTGTCAGATAAAATACACTTGAAACTATGTTGAATCAAGTCTATAGTGACACTATACGCTGCAAATGGTTGATGTAAATAATTTTTATTGCTGTTTATACAAATTTATGTGGAGAAGAGAGTGTGTTTTCATACGTGTGTGAGCTGTGTAAAATGCGTTTTGTAGTGCTATGTGCGTTGATTTCGATTGGATATAATGCTGGTGAGTAGATATATATATATATACTTAGATATAGATTGTTATACAAAATTTTAGAACTACATCAGATAATTCAAAATTTTTAGGTAAAATAACAACCAATTTTGATTTTGCAGAATCCAACAGAAATATAATTAGCCTACTTGTTATTGAGGCTGCTCACAAGCTTCCTCTACTTTAAAAAGTAAATATCTAGATAATACAAAATAGATAAGGCACAATGGAATGATGCCATACCAATGACAGAGGATGTGGTATTTTTCAAACTAAACCTAATTAAAATTATATTTTATCTCACATTTCAAGAGTAAAATTACGTTATTCTATAAACTACAATAATGTATTATTACCCAATAATTTATTTATTACTCTAAGAAAATGACAGAAACATAAACTAACACAACTATTACTTGAATAAAGCTGAAAATAGTATTTATTCAACAAATTTTAACGTGCAAACTCTACTCCAGAAACAACTGTTGAATAAAAGGAAGGCTCACATACAAACGTACAATTTACTTACTTTTTAAATAGTATATTTTAATATGCATAGGTAAAATCCTTATACTCTGATTAAAGCCTTTTCAACAATTCGTTAGTTAAAAAAATTACCACCACCAATGTTAAAAATCCACCACCAGGAAATATGATTTTTAATGTTAAAAGCCGCTCCATCATATTTAAATATGGGTGTACCAACTACATCGAATCTGTTAAAATGAGAAAAATAGTAGAACCCTCTGAAACTATAAGTATTGCAATAGACGTAATGATCTTAAATACATAACATCATGGTAAGATAACGTTAAAAATCATTTACTGGTACTGGTTTATAATGGTTTTATATATATATATATTACAATTACGGTGTATTGAGCGTATTAAGAGTCTATTAGGTCTCTTTGAGGATTGATGTGTATCGGAAATCACATGAACACTGAAAACAATAGAACACTATATTTTATATAAGAACTAAACATACAAGTCGAGATTCAAGTTTTGGACACTTGATTGACATTTTAAATTTATATAGACATTTAATAGTTTGTGCTATTATTGGGGATTTGTATAAAATATTGTAAAAGCTAGACATTATAAATACTGTGACGTTTTAGTTAAAAGTTATATTAACTATAAACTATTAAATAGAGATTGTATTGATTTAATAACACCATTATTTTATATACCATCATCTATCCTACTAAAGAAAAGAGTTAATAAATAAAAAATCTCATCTTGAGATTCAACTAAGCAAAAGCTTATATTGATGTTAATATCAATCAAAAATTGTTCATCAGCAAATTAACCAAGAAATAATAAATCCAACACAATTGAAGACCTTACAACAAACGCAAACATAAAGGGATGAGTTCCGTTTCATTGAACCAAAGATAATTTAGTTGTCAGACAGCAAACTCCAATTTCAAACTCACCTTTGTTTGAGAAAGCATTCAAGCCAGGTAATATAGAATGCATCAACAAAGGACTAATATAATGCCTGTTGTCGTTTGTTCCGTACAAATTCCTGTAGTTACATAAGAGAGATTATTTAGCCGTGATATTGGCACAGCGGTGTCGTTGTTATTGCTCTCATGTCATCTCTAATGTTGTTTGATGAAAGTTTGCGAAAATGGAATCTCACTTAGTTAAACTGACACACAATCCCTAATAACGTGTTCTAGGGAATTGCAACATGTTTGGACGTATTAGAGAATAAATTCGTTTACTGCAGGCCGTGGCAGTAACTATACTTAAATGTCTCTTTGTCGATGACTAAATATACTGTAAAATAATTAATATTTAGTTGGGCGAATTTTTGTCAAGTTTAGAAGGATAAAGTAAGTGTAATGACTGATTTAGTTTGAAGCTTAAGAGTGGTTCATCATAATCGAGCTATTGTAAATTGGTATAAATGCTGTAATAATTGATTTAAATTAATTTAAATAATTTATTTATTATTTTCTGGAAGTTATATTCCTTTCAAATTGAATATAAAATAAAAAAAGGTGCAATCCACTTGTTGTATCAACTTGGAGCATAAATTTAATTATCTTTGTAATATAGTCTTTTAGTCATTATAAAATAATTTATATATTATATCTGTCAATGTTAGGAACCCTAATAGTTACCTATGCATGACGTTTTATTTGGATTTTATTATAAAGAAATTTTTAAATCTTTTGACTTTAAATACACTTTGTTCAATCTACTGTAACAGCTAACATTAAACATTAAGTAAGTTCGAAAATGTAATAAACTATGATCCACGAGAAAAACGAATGAAATTGTTCTTCAATATAATTTGCATGTACAGTATTCATGTATACGTACTTACAACATTCTTAAATCACACTGTGTCTATACGTGCGTTACGTTATATTGTAATTTTCACGTGAACATATCTTAACATTCGATTAGAGGTCTACTCGGCCTACGATTGATTACTTCACGCTGTGGTCAGACTGAACGTAGCGTGGGTGGCGCGGCGTGGCGCTCAAACAATATTGGCTTTTGGCTCTTCACTCTGATAATTTAATTTACCTGTGGGGCTCCTCGTCTGCCGCTGCAGTCGCCGTCTCTTTGAGCTTTAACTCAACGCCAGGCTAGGAATGCCACATGGATTTAGGAAACAATAAGAATTCTAATAACCCAATTAAACTTACCAAATTAAACTTATTTCATAGGGGATACGAATTATGAATTCAACTAAAAGTACTGTATGTATTGATTGTTTATTTTTAACGTCATTTCTCTCATCAGAAGGAGTAGACAACGGTGTAAATATGGGTGATAGGTGTGTCAATTTATTTTAGTGCAGAATACTAATTAAGAAGGTGAGAATTATAATTCGATATTAAGTAAAGTATTTTTTTTAACTTGCATCATTAAAATATCTATTTATGTATACATTTTCAGACTTTGTGAGTTTTATTGATTATGAAATTGAACAGGTTGGTTCATTATCCATTTAGTTGGAGTTGTGGTACGTATTTGGTAAAGAATATTCAACCTGTTATCAACATATTTACAACTAAAAAAGATATTTGCTGTTTTACGTAAGAAGAAGGATTATTGACTCCGAGTACGCAATGTAGAATTGCAATGTACAATTGAAATGAGCTTATATTGGAAACTTAGGAATCATCATTTTCCAGTTAATTTACTTTTTGATTCTATTTAGCATTAATTTTTAGAAATAAAATAGCCAAGAAAAATAGAGATAAAGTCTTAGTTAGATATTTTAATTATACTTGGCGTGCAGCCTACGACTTTTTTGGGCGAAAACCCGTTCAACATCCACAATGTAACGTTTGAACACTGTAGCTGGAATCTGGCCAAAGCAACATATTTGAATAGGAATTCTTAAAGAGTAATAACACAAAACAATACAAAACATACTCTTGCTTAATTTGTTCCAAAGTGAAGCCAACAAAGTACAGAGGCAACAATGTAAATGTTGCACACATTAACGGTTGTAGAGAGAGTTATTTGCTGCATTTGCATAGTTTAGAGCCAAAATACAACCGCGTCATGGGCCACAGCCTCAGTAAATAACCGAGCAACACACCACGCGCCCTCGCTGATGGACCATCTTCATTGTCAATTTGAACGACACAAATTCCATCCAAATATTTACCGGGTCAAAAACAGTTTAAATTGAAAAACATGTCTAAATTTAGTTTAACAATATTCAGTTGAGAATGTTTTGATACTGAAATACAGAATGTCTTATCGCCTCCATTAGTGTATGTGGTATTATACGGATAGAATAAAAGTCCTCCAACAACACTACTCGATACATTAAATCCACACTGTTATATTGACTAGATACTAAATATAATTACATATTTATTATTAACCTAGTACTTGTAGGCTATGGTTGTTTGTTGTATTGCGTTCTTTCTAAGCTCAATTGAAAACGACTCAGTTACATTAATATAACATTTGTATACATATATTTGTAAACGATTGTGTTAATTGTAAAGCTCTTCAACATCATAAACATAATTAGTTAGCTTGATAAATTCCAACTTGTTCAATCTATTTTTGTAATGGATAAGCTCACTGGTGTATAACCTTTTTATCGCGTAAGAGCAATGAAAATAAGACATAACCTGTGACAAGTTATCTTAAACTTTTCTTTTAGTATGCTTTCCTAAAAATATAATTAACTGTAATTTACCTCTGTGTTATTAAATTACACAAATGACTAGTTAATAAATATCTACTATAGTACTATAGTACTATTGTAAACTATTAATAGGGCAAGCATATTTGGTATCCATTTTCTTGAGAGTACAGTATATTACATTACAAGTCCTGAAAATAGGTGTTTACCGAACGAGTGTGGCGTACGATATTTTACGCCATACTACTCTAAGTTAACTCAACAATAAAAAAAATCTGTACAAATCCTTATACAGGGTGTCCATAAAAACGTTTGGGAATGAATCCTCATACTGAAAGGAAGAAAAAAGTAGATCTGAAGGTATGTCCGAAAATGCATATTCACCCAGTTATCCGCCATTTTGTTTTTTATACAAAAATATTTTTATCTGTGAAGTTTTTCGTTTGATGATTATGAAATTTGGTAACCATGTTAACATACACAAGACCTATAATACAAAAAATAATAAAGTTGTTCCAATTGTAAATTTCAAAATGGCGGCCGTTTGGATTTTTCTAACTTAAATAACTCAAAAACCGCTAATTCTATAAAAAAAATGTCAAGAATCCTTCTTTTTTGCATTTTTAATTCCCTATCAAACTATACCAAGATAAAAAGATCGGACAAGAGGTAACTGAAATATAACAGTTTTTGTGTGAAAACAAGGCAAAGTTAGTCGGGGAACGCTTAATTTTTCCTTATTTTTACACAAAACCCGTTATATTTCAGTTACCTTTTGTCCGATCTTTTTGATCTTGGTATCGTTTGATCGGAAATTAAAAATGCTAAAAAAGTATTCTTGAAATTTTTTCATAGAATTAGCCGTTTTCGAGTTATTTAAATTAGAAAAATTAAAACGGCCTCCATTTTGAAATTAACAATTGGAACAACTTTATTATTTTTTATATTACAGGTCTTGTGTTGTTAACATGGTTACCAAATTTCATAATCATCAAACAAAAAACTTCACAGATAAAAATATTTTTACGCCACACTACACTATTTTGACAAACTTAACATGCAAGGATTTAGTCCAGAAAACAGCTGTTTGTCGTCAGCTTAATCAAATGGGGTTTCATTGCGTACTACTGTACTGCAATGAGTTTTACCGGACACCAATCAGCTGATATATTGTATTTGGGTGGCAATAGTTAGTGGTTATAAACAAAAACATAACCTCTCTCAGAGGTTATGACTAGTGATTTTTAGTCCTTTAGTTGGTGGTAATTTATAAGGATTTGAACAGATTTAGTAGTATGGCGTAAACTATCGTACGTCACTCGTCCAAAATGTCTTTACCGGACTCGTCCGGTAAACACTTATTTTCCAAGACTAGTAACGTAATATACTATTGTATAAAAAACAAAATGGCGGATAATTGGGTAAATATGCATTTTTGGACATACCTTCAGATAAATTGTTTTTCTTCCTTTTAGTATGAGGATTCATTTCCCAAAGTCCTGAAACGTTTTTTATGGACACCCTGTATATTCCCACCGACTAAAGGTCTAACAATCACTACTTATAACCTCAAAGAGAGGTTATGTTTTAGTTTTTAATCAGTCATTGCCAAATAAAATCAGCTGGATGGTGTCCGGTAAAAACTCATTACAGTACAGTAGAACAAAATGAAACCCCGTTTGATTAAGCTGGCGGCAAACAGCTGTTTTCTGGACTAAATCCTTGCGTGGGAAGTTCTTTAAACGTGTAGCGTGGCGTAAATTTGTTTAACTGTCATAAAACTACATCAAGATGACTGCGATACAAAACAGCTACTGACTTATTAGGCATATACAAATAATCACGTTGGAAAAAAGCTCAGGCTCAGACTTCTCTATGTAGACCTAAGTTTCAAACCAAAATATTAGTAGGAAACTTGTTTTAAAATAGTTTATGGATGCTGTTAAGATCGCATTGATTTCTTTCGTTAAACTTGTTTTAAACCGTACATTGATTAAAACAAAATATTATTAAAGGGTTTAGATAGTTTTTCGAGTTCTGGACTTTTCATCGTTATGCTACCATGCTACAAACATTAATCTTGTTTGAGTTTCGCCATAATTTAGAAAGTGTTAAATCAGCAATGATTGGTTAACTGGTTCAGTAAAAATCAAGTACGTATGTATATTATACATTTTTACCTATTTAGTATAAGATGAAACATCCAAAAATACAGCTAATATTATTGAAATTCCCCATATTTACACTATTAAATATAAGAAAATCACCTTATGAATATGAATACAAATGAAACATACAATTTTCTAAAGTAATACTTACTTACTTTTTTATGTTTTACTTTGGTAAAACAAAATTTCGTTTAATTATATCCCAAACAAAGGCTTAAAAATGTAACTCTAAAAATATTCTTTACATTAATCCTTATTCTGAGTTAATACATCTACAACAATGTTTAATGGTCATGTAAAAAACAATCTTTTATGAAAAAAACAATAATATCTTTCAATACATAGGTATTCAGCGAAACCCTGACGATGTAATAATATTCATTAGTATAATACTATTAATAATATAATACATTATTTTAATTCCCAACATTTTTTGCACAACAAATACATGGGCAGCATTAAACATGTTATACTCTTGTTTATTTACCTGTAAAAAAAGAAATATAATCATTTTTACATTGTATACGGCCTTATCCTTTATATTATCTACGAGCTGGCCCAACAGACATCGTCCTGTCCTAATGTGGTTTTATGTAAAATGCTCGTTCATTTTCAAGATGAGCTCGTTCGCATGGCTCAATCACGCCCTGGTTGAAGTTCGTTCGCTACGCTCACTCACCTTCAGGTTGGAGCTCGTTCGCTGCGCTCACTTGCCTTCTGATTAGCTCGTTCGCAATGCTAACTCGCCTCCATGTTGAAGTTCGTTCGGTTCGCTCACTCACCTTTTGGTTGTAAATTAGCTGTTGTCATAAACTAAAAAAATAATAGTGCTACACCCTGTTGATAAACCTATTAACTTTTTAATGCTATTGAACATCACAGAATCAAATTGTTTAGTTGAACCAGCTGTTAAGATTATTTAATTCCATTTAAATATGAGTACTCATAAGGTTAACATGGGAAACTCCAGAGCCACTGGGGCGGAGCCCAAGAGTCCGATCAGAATAAAAACAACTTAGTTTTCCTATTTAATTCCTAAAGAATCAGTGTACCAAATTTCAGCCTCCTAGGTATATGGGAAGTGGGAGAATTAGTGATGAGTGAGTGAGTCAGTCAATGAGGGCTTTACAACGCATTTTATATAATACTTTTTGCAACAATTCTACACAATTATGTCGGAAAGACATAGTTCGATACAGACAGGCCTAGCACTAATCGTTTACGCCATCCATGATGATTTAAAAAATAGAGAAAATTTAAAATTAATACGTACTGATTTGAACTGACTGGGCTAGTAAGTGTTTACGATCAAATCCGAAGGTGTGGCCCTAAGTAGGATCTATTGTGGACCCAGTTATTTTTTAAATAATAATAGGCATATTAAAGATTTAATTGGTTATCTACTATCTATACTACTTATACTATGGGATTTTATGGACTATCTACTAATAACGCTTCCTAAAAACCATTAATGGAAGGGTTAAGTTGGATAGAAAAATCCATAATGGCCCTTTGCTTAAAACCTACTAGAATTACAAACTACAGAATTACAAAAATAAAATAAGTAAATACTTGGTGTTTTTTAATGCGCAACCCAAATTAAAAGTACTGTGGGACACATTTTAATGATAAACAACATTATATTTTGGTATCCTTGTTTTCTTTACTTTATTACCGATCAGCTTATATGCGTTATCTGATACATAGTTATCTATGAGGGTTAGTGTTGTTATGAATTAAATTAATTAAAATATGATCATATCAATAATATTTGATTTATAAGGTACTGTAGTCACACCTGGTAACTTAATTTCAAACCTTTCTTGGCATACAACCAATGATTTACTTTCAAAGTACTATTCTAACTTTTCGAGATTGGGGAAACACCAAGTTATGTCTTATTTACAATAAATTCCCAACAACACTAACCCTCATAGATGACTCTGTATCAACGCATATCAGCTGATCGGCAATGAAGTAAGCAAAACATGGACACCAAAATATAAGGTTGTTTTGTCGTTAAAATATGTCTCACAGTACTTTTAATTTGTGCTGCGCGTTAAAAATCAACCTGGATATCAAAATGTTAGTAATATTGCAAATAACATCAATTAATTTTTCTAATAACAAATATATCTTTCATTATCAAGTGTCATCAGCGGTATTAATTTATAAATTGTAAAATACGTTTCATCAAGCCTTAAACGTTGAAAATCTAAAAATAAGCATTATGTTTACCGGTGCCTCTGTCATGTTTCAGGATCACAGATGGTACCACCCCGTATCACGGAACATCCCGCAGACCTGACTGTGCCACGCCACGAGCCTGCCACCCTCAACTGTGCCGCCGACGGTCATCCTCCGCCCCACATAGAGTGGTACAAGGATGGCCACCCTGTGCGACCCTCGGCCAGCCGCGTACTACTGCCTGGGGCGCTGTTCTTCCTCAGAGTGACTCCTGGCCGCGACGCCGGAGTCTACTGGTGCAGAGCGACCAACTCCGCTGGCCACACGACCAGTAGAAACGCCACCTTGCAAGTCGGAGGTAAGACGTGATACAACCACAACTAGGTTTGGATATTATACGTTTGAAAGGTTCAGAGAACAGACAACAAGATTTGTAAATGCACATCGTATATCATTGCGAATATCTTCTCTGTTAATTGTGTATCCTTTTATGGATAGGTTGTTGAAATGAATGAACCTTAAATTAAATAGCATTTCACTTGTAATATATGTTTAAAAAAGATGAATTACTTACAGGGTGTTTTTTTACGTAACCCAAATTACATGTACTTATTAAATTATAAATTACAAGATTATAAAAACACCATTTGAGTCTTATTTACAAAGAAATCTATCTATATATTAATAGGCAAGCATGTTTCTTTAAAACCTTTTTTTCTCAGCTCGTGGGCATCGTAGGGAAAATCTACGCATACTGTTAGAAAGCTATTTTCCTGTATGTGTGCAGAATCCCTTTATAAATTTAAATAGGCTCAAAGATATGTGCAAAAAATGAGTTTAAAAATTTGAAAAAATTAACATGGATCTTATGCGTTGCCATGCTGGTGACGAAATAACAACGAAATATAAACAGAAAATCCAAACAAATGGAAGAAACTCCAATCACATGTTTTATTTACAGTGTGGGGTGAAACATTAACATAAGTGAGTACATTACATACTTTTGGTCGAGTTTCGACCACTGGACATTACTCGTTCCAATAAAATTAAACCTTATAAATAACTAAGCAACAATGCATATCAGCTGATCGGCAATGAAGTAATGAAAACAGGGATACCACCATAAATGCTTGTTTTGGCGCTAAACAGTCTCACAGTTTTTGTAATATTTGTTTTGCGTTAAACACCATATACCTTGTCAGTCTTAGTTTTATCTGAATATTTGTAACGGCTTTCTATATTTGCTTTAGTGCTGAGGGAGGAGTTTCGTGTGGAGCCGTCAAACTTAAGGGTTGCTCAAGGGGAGACGGCGCTGCTGGAGTGTGGTCCTCCCAAGGGAGTTCCGGAGCCGCAGGTTTCCTGGAAAAAGAATGGTGTACTTGTGGAAGTGGACACCTCTGACAGGTAAAGTACTGCATATACGCTGTCAATTATATTTAACTTCCAACGGGTTTTCAATAGACAATTTATTTTCGTGTACTATTGAACACAGATAAAGTACGTGATGATATGTAACAAACTTTTAATCTTTTTATTTAAACAATATTTTTAGGTTTTAGAGTAAATAAAATAATGTTATAAAAGCAAATTGCCTCATCATCAAGCGATTCCCAGTTTACAATTTCTTATCAGAGTATCATTTATCAGTGATTGCATTATATTCAAAAAGTACGGTAAGTATGTGGATTTAAAGTAATCAACAATAGTCCCATAAGAATTACAATATTACATTTTGTTAATAGCATTCAGTTCAATAAAGCTTCTAACGGGAATGTATTTACATTTTGTTTTGAAGTACTATACTAACGTTTTTGATTTACGGTTGTAAGTATATGGCTTCTATTAATAAAGTTTTGTTAACCCCCAACATAACTATCTTACTAAACTTTATATGGTGGATAAACCGTTTTCATACAATCTAATTACATTTTTGTATTTCAGATTAAAAATTGTAGATGGAGGAAATTTGGCTATTCAAAATGCAAGAAAGGCGGATGAAGGGAAATACCAATGCGTCGCCAAAAACGCTGTTGGGGTGAGAGAGTCCGCTCTTGCACAACTTAAAGTCCACGGTAAGTTTTTGAAAACAATTAGATTTATAAACAAAGAATTGAAAAGTCATTTAAAAACAAAACGTAGGCTAAACACCAAGATGGTTTCAGTCATTAGTTTTAGCCATTAGTCACTTCAAATTCTACAGATAATTAATTGTATGGCATTTCAGTGAAACCGTTCCTAGTGCGGGTGCCTGAGGATGCCGTGGTAGTGGCGGGAGCGAGTGTGGAGTTCTCCTGTGAGGCGGGCGGAGACCCTGTGCCGGACGTGCTGTGGAGACGCACGGCTGGCGGCGGCAACATGCCTCTGGGCAGAGTCCATGTACTGGAGGATCGCAGTTTGCGGCTGGAGGCGGTCACTCAGGAGGACGAGGGAGAGTACAGCTGTGAGGTGGACAACGCCGTGGGAAGTCTCACCGCCTCGGCCATGCTCATCGTCCACTGTGAGTAGCCTTCCAGCAATAGACTAACATCTGTACTGGCTACGTGTTAACACAATATTCGTATCTATTTGACTACTCTATTTGTTAATAGGGTCTTCCCTTAAAACCCCTAATAACATGCATAATGCAATAAAATTTAATTTCGTACGTGATATTGAAGAGCTTAAACGCATTGATTACTCAAAATAGGCAAATCTTTCTTACAGCTCCTCCGGTGATTTTGGTTAGGCCACAAGAATTAACAGTGGAGGAGGGCCGCAACGCCGTGTTCTTCTGCGGGGTGAGAGGGAAGCCAACTCCGACACTGTTCTGGCTTATAGAGGGTAACCACACGTTGCTGATGCCCGGAGACGAGCAAGGACAGATTGTGGCGTCGACTACCAGCGAGAGCCACGAGGGGGTGTCACTGTCGTTGACCATCCAGGTACCGTAAATTGCTTTGTCACAAAGTTAAATTATTGTGAAATTTCTTTCTGATAAAAATACGCATTTACACGTGATAAACACATTTTTTTACATATTAGTACGTTTTAAGTATAGAAAAGTCTACCAATTTATTAAATAGGGCTTACTTAGCTTTTTTACTAGGATGTAACTTCTCCTTTGTTTGAAGTAGGCTACTCTATAAAAAACACAATCAGTTATACAAAAGAACATAACTTATTTATCAATGGTTATGCAAATAACCTCGAAAGCTAAAAAGTAATATTTGTTGTCCAGTGACTATCAGAAAGAGTATTATTAATAAAATACCCCCGCCGCAGCAAACCTGCAGACTAAGCGAATTTCCATTTGCCTGATTGGATTTACACTAAAATGTCTACTTAAAAATATAAAATTTATTTCCTATTTAAATAGAATTAGTGTAACAAGTACTCAGGTTTGCTGCATCAGGGAAGGCAAAACTGTTTTTTTTTGTAAAATGTTAATACTTAGTAAGAAATAAAAACATTTTCCAAATTTGATCAAAATATGTTCATAAACAAGCAAACTACAACAGTTTACTTGTTCTCCATAAGAATAACATGGGAATTTAAAATTTACATTTTTTTGGAATTTTCTCCGTAACCATTAGGCGCATAATAACACTTCAATATACTAAATTATTTGTTTTTCTAAGCTCTACAAAATGGTTTAGAAAGAAATTGCAAAATTTTATGTTTTTTGGGTCAAAAATGGGAAAAACCTATTTTTACCCCATAAAACCCCCCGTAAACCCCCGTTGCCATAGTCCGATCATGCTGGTTCGCGAACTCGTTCAAGTTATCCCGCCTTACACCTTCAAACCAAATTTTATCAAAATCGGACAAAAATTACTCAAGTTATCGTGCGGATGGACACACACACACACACACATATATATATATATATATATATATATATATATATATATATATATATATATATATATAGATATATAAAAATTTGAACGAATGGTGTTTTTGGCCTCTGGGGACATCAAAATGAAAAAGTAAATCGGTCCCGGGCCTAGGTCTTACCATGAGACCTACGGTAATAGCTACTTCCCTATAGGGAAATTCGCTAATATACTAATATAAAGAAAGATGTTTATAGACATTTACCTATTCGGTGGCTAAAAATGTAACTCAATTGTGTGCAAAACAAGTTTTTAACCACCCCCCTCTTTTTCCCAGGGAGTCCAAAAGAGCAACAACGGCCTGGTGGTGATGTGTGGTGCTATCAACGCTGCTGGCTCTGACTCCTGGACCTCTCGCCTCACCGTCGTCTCACCTGACGATCACCCTCCTCCCATCATCCAGCTTGGCTCCTCCAACCAGACTCTGCCCCTCCACACCCCGGGCATCCTGACCTGTCACGCCTCTGGAGACCCTGCTCCCATCATCACGTGGTACAAGAACGGCATCCCCGTTACCATAGAAACTCCTCAGGTCACTCTGTCTGACGATGGGACACTTACAATACACAGTAGGTTGAGTAATGTAATTTTACTAATAGTACTAAGCTTATCGTAGACTATTTGAACGTGACTGCCATGTTGTACATCTTAAAATACTTATAAGTAAATCTTGGTTTTTATACTTACTATCGTCCATGAATGACAGAGATTCTTTAGGGCTCTAATGTTAATTACTTACACTTTGCAGACCTAGTGGAGAGTGACGAGGGACTGTACACATGTGTGGCATCCTCTCGTAGTGGGAAGGCAACATGGAGCTCCACTCTCACACTAGAGCCCCGTACCAACCCCAACGCTCCGTTCTACCGCAGTCCGGAGCCCTCCACACTACCGGGCCCTCCTAGCAGACCTACACTAGTGAACTCGTCCGACAACAGCCTCACTATATCCTGGACCAGGAACAACAAGATCGGTTCTTCCTCTCTGCTGGGCTATCAGGTAATAATAATTAATGAGTTAACTATTGTAAATGTTGTAACACGATTGTTTTATTGGAAGGTTACTACACTATCAGGACAGTTTGCTCACAAGAACATAGTTTATTATTTCGAACAACAAAACATTTTCAGATGTATAAGTAACAAAAATTTTTCTGATAAAACAGTAATTTGTTTTCCAGGTTGAAATGTTCAAGAGGTCGCTGAGTGGAGGTCACAGTGGTGGTGGTTGGGTAGTAGCGGCCAGGAGAGTCCCAGGTCCCACCTACACGCAGGCCTACCTCCAGCCTGACGAGTCCTACACGTTCATAGTACGAGCGGAGAACTCTCACGGTCTATCATCCGCGTCCCCGCCGTCTGCCAGTCTCCTGCTGTCCAACACCACTGTGGACGCCTCTGTAAAGGAGGCGAGGGCCAGTCTGTCCACCGGCCACGTCGTTGAGCTCACCTCCGTACAAGCCGTCTCGTCCACCTCTGTCAGACTGGGCTGGGAGGTGTGTGTCTGCTGTATCTTAAACCATAAAAAACAAACTGTGTAATTGGCTGCGTTAAACTGCTTCGTAAAACTACAAAAGTATTATCTAAAAATTGAGGCCTTTCTGTAAAATTATTATTACGTTTGAGCATGACCTGTCGAAATATAATTTCTTTTAGTGCTTTGGTTCAGAAATTTATTTTTATTTTGCTCAGAATAAGCCGTATACGTACCGATCATAACAGCATTTTAAAATCAGGAGTTTGCTTTCACGATGTCTAAATGTTTAGATCCTGAGCAGTGACTACGTGGAAGGCGTGTTGATCTTCTCCCGTGGTATGGATCCTCACGCGCGCTCCACCACCATGCTGACGGTACTTCACACCGGCGACACGTCAGGATTCTTGGTCACTGGCCTCAGACCCTACTCGCGCTACCAGTTCTTCCTTGTACCCTTTTACAAGCTAGTAGATGGAAGACCGTCCAACTCAAAAACAGTTCGCACTCTCGAGGATGGTGGGTATAGGAATTAACGATATTAACAATTCAATTTGGTATAAACGTTATTGAGACTAATCAACACCGTAGTTACGCTAATATGTGGATTGTAAAGTATTCATTCACTTGTACGACATGTAAAAGGACATGGAAAAGGATTTTTTTGCTGTTGTTGTTTGATGTTTAGGTTTTCAATGTCTGTGAAGTGTCTAGAGTATTTTATTTAAATATAACTCAAGTTCCTCAACAATTTAAATTTGCTAAGGCCTACTCACGAATAGATGATGTCGTTATATTATAGGTATAGATATCTTTCCTATGATCTATTCCAGCAACAGCATATAGTAAAAATGTAACTGTCTCACTTTACATTCTACAACACCGTATTTATAACCAAAAAAACGTTCCTTTTGTTTTTAGTCCCATCTGAGCCACCAAGTAACATTGAAGCTGTTCTGGTCAACACTAGTGCTGTGTACCTGAAGTGGAAACTTCCATCTCAGACCTCTCACAACGGGATTATCAAGTCATACCAGGTAAAAGAACAAGCTAGATAAAATATTAGTTCTGAGTTTTAAGTCTGCGGAAAACATTTAGAATCTTCTCACTATCCCTTATATTTCTGATAAGAAAAAAATTGATGAAGTTAAACTAAGAGTTAATTTAACCATCTAAATTATATTGCCTGAATGGTTGACAGCAGGCAATCATATTATTGCTGCTAGCAAGTCTAGTCGTACCACCATTTTGACAGGGTTGTGATCGATTTCTGCAGGTCGTGGTGAGAGGCACGATGGGAGTGCTGAGCAATGTGTCAGTGAGTGCCGCGACACCGTCACTACTGCTTACCAACCTGACCGCAGGGGTGGTATACACCGTGCAGACGGCGGCGGCCACTAGGGTAGGGCTGGGACCGTACAGCGCTCCCGCCACGCTGCGACTGGACCCCTCCACCAGGCTGCTCAATCACCCCAGGTAATGACCACTTCAGTGGATATAGGAAAATACGAATTTTTAAACTTAAATTAGTAGTAAAATCCAATAGACCAAGTAGTGTTTAGGTACAACTCATAGCGAATGCTTACTCATTACAGACAACCAGTGGGAGTGCAGCCTAGTATGGAGATGGCCAGTTTCGACTTTCTCTCCGAGACTTGGTTTATAGTGTTACTCAGCTCCATGGTAGCCGTCATGGTTCTTCTCTTCAGTTCGATGCTGTATTTCTGGAAAAAGCAAATTAACAAAAAGGACTACTTACCAGGTACTGGATATATTGGATAATATTACATTTACTTTTTCTCTTGATATCAATAATTGTGGTAATTTAAAGTATTTTATCTAATGAAATACTGATTTAGTGGCGAAATTTAGCAGCCTTCTCTGCAAGATTATTGCCAGTTTTCTTGTGATAATAGCATTATAATTAACCTGAATAAGTGTACTTCTGATTAGAAACGATCCTTGTATATGATATTGTATAGTTTAAATTTATCGCAAACAGTAAGCTACACAGTACCTTTACCCAGTAAACAACCCAGTAAACAAATGTAACTTGCAGATTCCCGATCGAACGCGGGCGTGCTGACCACACCTCTGGGGTTCAAAGGTTTGACAGTGGGACTGACTCACCCTCTGGCCACGGACCCCAACCTGTGGATAGAGGGAGGCAAGTGCGAGGTCGATGAGAAGTGTCAGTTGTACAGCGAGGTACCGCAGACTGCCGAGGACTACGCTGAGGTCAACATGTTACAGCGAGGCTCCTTGTGGACGTTCAAGGGGGTGGGAGGTGCCAGCCAGACGTCTGCGGCGTACGCCTCGACCACCCTGGTACTGCCGCCGTCCAGCAACAGCCACTCCCCGGTCAGTCTTCCCTCAAACCAATCAGAATGCTGCTCTTCTTAAATGGTCGTTGCTTTGTTTCTTTTAATTCTGTGTAATGGATTGATATATTAAATATATAGATGACTAATCCTGATTTAGTAGTGCTATTCGTAGCTTTAGAAGGTATTACTTCTATGCTATCAATATAAGTTGTCTTAGTTCATCTAAGTGTACCTGGACCAAACTTCAAGTAGGTTGTATTAGTTACAATATTATTGATGACTAGGAAGCTTATAATTCCACAACCAAAATTTATATTGAGCGTTTTTATAAATCTAGAAAAACTGTTTAGTGCTTTCGTCTGATCGCTTAGGAGTGTTAATAAATTGGTTCAAAAATGTAAACTATTTGTTTAGGACTCTGACCAAAAGAGGAGCAACGACAATGAGACATCCTACACATCATTTGGCTACTACGACGGAAGAGTGTTTTCTGATAACTATTACTTACTTGGTGACAGAGGATATAGGATTAAGGGTAAGCTATTATTACCTTGCATGTCAAACTTAGTACCTACCGTGCATTAACAAAACCCTTTGCACAATTTAGTATGCGGATTGTAATTTGTGGAAAGATTATAATTTTTATCCTTTAATCTTAATGGCGGTTCTAAATCTTTACTAGAAAATAAGTCTACCATAGACGTATTAACATCATAGAGAACATTTTTGTTGTGAATATTTCTTTTTGTAAACAATGGCGATAGCTCCTATACTGCATATTCGTTTACAAAATTCAAGCTGACAGCTAAAATCATTAAATATTTGTATATAAAAAAATATAATCTCAATTCTTTTGTTGTATTAATTATTACAAAACAACAAAAAGAAAAAATATATATATGATTGATTTTGTTTTACAAAGTAAAATTATTAACAATACTGCCTTATTGTACATATAATTGAGCTTAAAGCTGTGACATTTTTGCACAGGTAACTACAGTGCGGGGGTGCCAGCGACTCTGGTCATCCCCCAGAACGGACGTAGAGCGCTGTCAGACGCCGGAGAGAGAGACACAGAGAGCAGTCAGCTGGACACCCCTCCCCCACCACCACCATCACTGCCACCACAGCCTCCTAGATACCGACGAAGCTCTGCCTCCACGCCACTCATCAGGCCACAAGTGAGTCTAATAACACACAAACCTACAACATGATTTGAATTTTATTTATATTTTATTGTAAAATACATCAGCAATACTACACGACATTTGTTTAGATAAACCTTAGTCATAAATTTTGATTATTGATATGAGTAGATAGCCCTTTCCCATGTTAAATCTGCAGCTACTTTAAGAGTAAATTGATTGTAGTTGAATTGAGCCCAACAGACTATGCTTAAGTCGCCAACTTCCTAACCAAGCTAAAGAAAACAGCTTATTGTAACCTGCAGCATGTTGAATGACACATAAACTATCACAGTAACAGAAACTTAGGGAGAAACTGGAATTTGTACATGAGCACACTCTTTTAGCGGTGTTCAATTTGAATACAATATCCATATAGAGGGAATGTTACTTCACAATCCATAAGTCGTTAACGTTAGCAATAATTAAACAGTGTTTTCAAGATAAGAGTATTACTTTCATGAGTTACTCCTCATGTAATGGGTGTTAATGAGTTACTTCTTTATTATATTTTGACGTTAAATATTTCAATCTTAAATTATTACTAAATCTTGTATATAACTGTTTTCAGGAGAGTGTATATTCCGACGGCAGCAAGTGCCGGATACAGAGACCTCCTAGACACCCACGGACTATGACATCGTTCAGCAGCTACAATGACCACCACACTACCATCTACCACAAACCGAACCACAGCTATCATGTGACAGCCAATGGTAGAGGAGAACCACCAGGAGTGTGCAAGGGAACCACATGATGGCTACCCAGGACCACCTCGCCTGCTAGCGAACCATACTGCAGGCCTAGCTGAGGCTGTACCTGAGTACTGACCAAAGAAAATAACAACAACATGCTGTACGAATATTGTAATAGATAGTGCATTATGCATATGAAATCAAAAAAGAAAAATGAAATTTACTGGATGTTCATTTTTGAGATATCAAAAAACTGTAATTTATACATTTATTACATTTATTAGTGATACAATCCCTGAACATAGTATGTATTTTACCTGGTATTCAGGGGCACTTCCCTATTGCTAAGGGTATAATAATTGTATTGATCAGGACTACTGCCCTGTAGATTGGGTAACAGGCATACATGTTACTTTCACTGAATAAGATTTTTCAAAAAAATGTATTGCTCGAAAAACACAATTTATCAATAATGAAATACGTTATAACTTATCATCACCGTCTCAAATGTATGACTACTAGCCTAAAATTCGTGATTTTTTAAAAGCCAAATGGAAGGGAAAACAAGTCCCGACAAATGTTGTATTAGGTTAGGTGTATATGTAGTGTGTAATATTAATGTTCAAGCATATAAATATGCTTGAAGTCGTTGACTGCTGTCTAGTGTGTTGTAATCTTTGAATGTTCTACTTAAATGGATCTATAAGACTGACTTAAATGCTATTCTAAGACTTTGAATTATCTTGAATATAATAGTTTATCATAGCCTACATACTTGTACATATCCTACTTGTACATATCTGAGATGTACATATCCTAGTTGTAGATATCGCCAAAGCAATAAATAGTATTATTTTTCTTAGTTAAGAACGTTATGTACATTTTAATTTATTTATCAATAAAAAAAACTATGTTAAAGTGTTTATTTTTAGAAATTTGTTAAAATAAGACATTAACAATTGCAGTGCATTTCACACTTAACAAACTTTTTACATCTTTATTGGAATAGAATTAATACTTTTAGAGTTTTTATACATACATCTATAACGGGAAAAAATATTTAGTGAGTGTAATACATATTACTTTGTTTAGTTTTCCTGAAACCTAATTAAGGAAATTGTAAATATGTTGCTTTAAAAGCAAATATTACAACAAGTTATGAATGGTAATACCATTGATGATCAATTTTAGTTAATTATTTTGTAATAATAAACTCTCCACAAGAAAGTATAGAAAATACTTTTACCAAGAAATGTGTTCATTTTTTAAACCCAGGAGGCCTAATTAAAAATATTTGCATGATGAAGAAATCTAATTACTATTGAGCCACCACTCAATGCAAATAACAAAACATTCTGTTAGTACCTCAGATATTCTCTAGGCATACACAGTAATCAATACAGTTTAGTAATTATTCACTCAGTAACGCATTCCTGTCAACTGAAAGTAATGCAGCCTGGTTGTATGACATGATTCCTTTACCTGTTGTTCAATTTCACCAATTTTGTATTTTTGTAATAGACTGTAAATAGTGACCACCTTGGAACTGAGTTTTACCTTTGTACCGTTGAATGTGATAGAATAAAAACTGTTTGATGACATACTACAATTTATTTTCCTCAATATGTATCCACAAAAGCGAAGGAAAGCATTGTGTAGAACGGGATTTTGAAATAGAGGTGGTGTTATTTTTTATACATGCACATAAAAAAGGACATATTCATACTTTTGCATAAACCTAGACAAACAAACAAATTTTAACGAGTTCCTCATCCTTTAGCATCTATAGTTTTATTCAGTAAAGTTTGCTGCAAAATATGATTACGTATACTCATGACAAACCCCCTATTCAACACTGATATGGTAAACTTGTTTACAAAGTACTAGCAGAGATTTAAGAAAGAAATAGATTCTTCCAAACAAATTTTACTCACACAAACAGCCTGCAGTGTACCCTCGATAGAGTCAGCCCTTCACCCTAGTGCCCTGATAACTGCACCCCTAATCCTAAATGTTGACAAACTTAATTATGCTTCAAGTTTACTGGAACGGAGTGGGATTAGTTATAATCCATAGGCCTTAGCCAAAACTATAATTTGAATTTCAAATTTCCTCTATTTACCAACAAATTAAACTAGGGGTGTTCTAGCGACAGAGGGGATGGCAATTATGCACCCTTGGTTAGGCGGGCTTTACAATATGAAGGGGCTTTTAGTGAATATTGGATTGTATCACATACGATATACTCGTATGGCTAGCCTCGCTAAAATAACAGAATGTAAACAATGTGAATCTACAAACACTGGTTATTGAGGGTAAGGTTGACAAAAGTTTGTTAAGTTGGGTAAAGTCGCTTATTTTGTACTTACAATAAAAACACATTTTTCAATTTAAACTACTTTCTAAGGACATTTTTAGAATAACTACATCTACATAAAAAATAGGTCAACAGATAAATATTTTACTATAAAACTGAAACGTGCTATTATAAATAATGTTATTTATAATACAACAATCATAATGTTTTAGTAATTTTCTACGTAAAACACGACAAATCAATTGGCATGAGAGTCCTTAATGTTATGATAATTATAATTACTATGGATTTTAGCCATTCCGTGTTTTTCAAAAGAAAATCTTAAATTTAAGAATGAAAAAGCAAAGAAACAGTAGGTTATTATACATAATTTTTAAAGGTTATTAACTTAAAAGTTTTTAGTAATACTTGACACTATCTATAGTCTAGTTTAATTTGTGTAAAAGTTTTTGCATTTTTCTCAGAGATCATAAATTCAAATTTCTGTTGCAGAACTACTCTGTACTATTACTATTGACAATTTTATGAGGATTCTGAAAATAGCATTACGTTCTAAATAAAAAAAAATTCAGTTCACTTATGGCCATTTTATTTAAGTAAATACAAATATTTTGAAAAATATTAATTTGTCTACCTACTATTTCCCACCTGTGAGGGTATGGTAATCTAAATTATTGGCATTCTGTCACCTAAACTAGGTAGTTTAACACATACCAATTTTTAACACTAACTTCGTTCCACCCGGTATAAAAACATAAAATGAAACACGGCCACATACAAATTATTACTGTGCCATTAAATGGAATATGAAACCTATCTTTTTGAGGTACCAGTCAAATTATAAACAATCCATCTTGTCCACAAGATGTTGTGGTTGACAATAACACAACAAACTTTCTTAATAAAAAAAATGCGAAGACGTACTGAGCTTTATTTTAACAATTTACTTAACTCAAAATTACACTTACTCATTACTATAGAGTATGGTGGACAAATTTGGATAACTCACTACTTGGTGGACGTTTAAAAATTAGTATTATCTATAAACATTTACTGGGGCTCATTGAACGGGTTTTTATTGTTGTTATATCCACAGTACTTACCTTATAAACAACAACTTTGAACATTATATCATTCAAAGTTATTGTACATTTTAAAAGAAACTAGTGATGTTTACATAGTAAATTTAAAAGTTGTCGTTTCCCAAATATTCTCTTGAAATGTTCTGATATCAGGAATTCAAACAAGCAATTTTACTTGATTAATTATACGTCAATTAATGTGTTTCAAGATATCAGTTTAACGGTACAGCTATGTGGTATAGTATTCCGGTACATTATATCTACAGTAAGTTTGTGGGTTGTAAGATGTTATGAGTATTCTTTTCACGTTCCCTGCAGCTGCTCCTGAACATCTCGTTTTTATCAATAACCATGGGTTGCCCTGTGATCTAGGTTAGTCGTTACGTTATTATACATAATACGCACTGTGTATTTTATGTACATAATTATCCAAATATATGCTATTTACTATTATTATTTTAAAAATAATATTTAAAATAAATTAGGACACATTAGTACAATTTGTTTAAATGACATACTCTGCGGAACTGTACCCTGTTCAGCAGTGGTAGTTCAGAGAAATAAACCATGGTAATAACTAAAAGATAAAGAACTATGTTTGATTGTGGAAGTTAAATAACGATAATTTCATAGTATGACTACGTAGCAACGTTTATCTTAGACATTTACTTTAAAAACAACGCGAAAGTATCTAGACTATTAGACTAAAAATACTACCTGTTGCTCATGAAGACGGGTATTTATGTTAAAACTAAACGCAACATCGTAACAAATCATAACAGCTATAATTGTTGCTATTTTTGCCAGTATGAATAAACACTTGTCATATAACAATTTCAATTATCATTATTATATTTAATACATTTTTTATTCAATCGAATATACTACAAACCTCTTGTCCTGCAATCCTCTGCCATCCATCTTGTCCACGAGATGTAACGATGAGATGCACACGCGGCTCAGAGTAGTGGAATGAAACATGGTTCCAGCTCACCTGTTTGACAGACTCTGTGTTAAGGCACCAGGACCAGGGAGGATGAAGATAGGTTGGAACAGGTAAAATATTTAAAATTATTTTTAAAATCTTCAAATTTTAAAGGGATTCATTTTTACTTTTTCCCTCTATGTATATGGAAAATGTATTGTTTTCGTCGAAGGTTTCGAGTTTGAGTTTTAGGTGGATATATATTTGTTTTGGGTCCCCTTTAACACAAAAAGGTACAGTAGTTTGTTGTTATCGAAGTGATGTCTGTGTGTGTGATTGTCCATATTTGTGTGTGGATGTGTACAGACCATAGATGTGGTCCGATTTCGACGTATTTGGTATGTGGGAAACAATTTATAATATATCCAAGTGTTTTTTCATTTAGAAATTTTGATTTTTAATGATAATTTCTCTTAGAAATCCATAAAACTCGGAAAAATTAAATTCTCTAGAATTTTCTTCAGCGGCTGTTTTAAACGAAATTAACATTGCTCTTAAGGTGGGCAAATCAAAGATGGCCGTAGCTTCCATTAACTCCATTGGATAACAATTCAAAATTACAAAGAACATATTAAAACCAACAGTAGACTACTAGATATTTAAATTATAATCACTTTGGTTTTTGGAAAAATATTTTTGGACGATAAATAACTCTTCGGCAGCAGTTTGAAATTATCCAAGATGGCCGCTAGCATCCAAGGACTCGATCAGACTAACCCAAGTCGATTGAAGTTGTGTTTAATTAAGATTATAATACAACCACAACCATGCAAGGCTTCATACCACGCCCTCACTGGGTGTTATTGGTTGAAGGAAAGGAATGGTTCCTGGAAATACTTAAGCTCTTTCATGATTGAAACAGATTATATACAACAAAATCATCTCAAATTGATAGTTTTAATACTTAAATTTGTCTGATCCTATGTGAAAAAAACTTAAATGTAGTTTTTAGTTGAGGTTAAACAAACTTATATACAAATTT